GGTTGATCATTAGCCATGAGGTAGCACAGTAAATACTAGGCTTTGATGGGTATCCCCTACATACTAAGGCTACATCTACACTACAGGGGGGAGGGGGGTGTCGGTTTAAGATACGCAAATTCAGCTACGCGAATAGCGTAGCTGAATTCGACGTATCGCAGCCGACTTACCCCGCTGTAGGGACAGTGGCAAAATCGACCTCTGCAGCTTCCCGTCGACGGCGCTTACTCCTACCTGCGCTGGTGGAGTAAGAGCGTCGATTCGGGGATCGATTGTCGCGTCCCGACGGGACGCGATAAATCGATCCCCGAGAGGTCGATTTCTACCCGCCGATTCAGGCGGGTAGTGTAGACCCAGCCTAAGGTTACTTCTGCCAAGAGGTAGCCTACCTCTTTTTGTATAAAACTGATGGCTTACGTTGGCAGCTGAATGAACTGCTAATGTGGCTGTGCATTACAAACTTATGGGGCTAAATTTTCAGCTGAAGTCCCACTGCTTGCCCCTCTAGAACTCTTCACATAAGATAATGTGTTTAAATACAGATAGGCCTAAATTTCTGCATTAAAAATAGGTGCTTCTGCATTGTGGATGAAAATTTGTGGAAACGTGGGGTGCAAAAATCCAAGAGGAGGCAGGGGAAATGAATAAAATGGTTAAATGTTGTCCAAACAGGTGTATTGCACTATTCCACACAGGTAACTTTGAGAAACATCTCTGGAGGTTGGTTGTGAAATTTAAAGTTTTCCTTCTCCCAGAAAATAACTAGTTTTCATTCCTGTTATAAATTGTAGCCATAAGAAAATTATATGGTCTATCAAAGCTGATCTTCACCTTCTCCCCCAGAACTAACAGCTCATGGATTGTTTGAAATTTAAAACCAAAATTCATACTCAAGGAGTATTATTGACCTAAAGTGTTTGTCTTTAGAGGTTTGAGGGGCAGGGGCAGACTTGCTTTCTCATGAGGTCACAACGTTCCAGGCCAAAGACAGCCTTAAAAATAATAGAAAAAAGCAAAACAAATTTTTTTGCAAAATGTACACTGAGCAGCTTGACATGCTAGTTGCTTGAGTTGAGCTTGATTTAAGTAGCTAGTTTTGGGGAGGCGGGTGGTAGAAAATAAAGATAGCAGTGCGACCGATGATCACAGTGTTAAAAATGTGAATACTGTACTGTGTGATGACATTTAGTTCAAGTACAGTCACTAGGAATGTGGTATTATTTTTATTAGAAATGATGGATCTTTTATAGTTCGGAATCATAATGAGCTCAAATAGAGGGGCAAAAGGGTCACTGTGCCTCAGTTACTTCCTCTTTCTCTGCCTTTGGGGTAACCACATGCCTGAAATGAGGGTTCCAAATGAAAAATCTCCCCTACTAGTGACTGATTTATTGGCATGCAACAAAATCTGTTCAGCTCTCCACTCTTGTATCAGGGCTTCTTAGTCCTTCCTTTCCAGGGCTGTGCTAGTATCCCCTCTTTCTTTCACAGCAGCTGCCAGTCTACTGCAGGTGGCTGTCTTTCTGCCAGTCCGTGGAGCAGTCCACACAAGGTCTTTCCCAGTCTATGGCACCTCTCAGACTCAGCTGAGAGCATTGCTTTATATAGCCCTGCCTGTCAGCCACATGCTTCTTTCTAAATGCATCTGCACTGATCGCAAACAGCTGTGGCCCTTCCGTGGGGTGGGCCTATTCCCTGCTGGACTGGGGGATGAGATCTGTGCAGCTGGTCACAAACGGCAACAGTTTTCCTTATTTGTTTCTCTTCAGGTCTAGTGCCTGATTCCTTCACCCTTAGTAATGTATATATTCCTCCCATACGTGAGGAGTCCCGCTGAAGTTAATTTTGCCAACACTTTTATTCTCTGCAAGTCTCACAATATTTGATAGTTTTCA